GTCCAGGAGAGGAGGAGGAAGCCAATAGTTGCCATAGCCCTTCTCTGCAACAGTCACCAATCAAGAACATTCACAGCCTCACAACACTGAATTTTCACCATCCCTCTTAAGGGAAGGAAGATGATCACCTTTTATTTTACCGTTTTTAAATAAGTGCTGAAATGATGGCTCAGAGAAATCAAGCCACAGTGCCTAGCTACTAACAACTAGACACGCCTGCTTCAAAGCTCACATACTTTCCATATAATAGGAGGTGAGTTCCCCGACACTGGAGGCATTCAAGCAGAGCTAATGCTATAAAGGAGAGAGCTAGGGCTCCCTTCAACATGGAGAGTCTATGGCTCAATGAAGCACAAGGCCTTGGGCTTCCTAAAAGGTAAGTCCTGGATCATAAGGGCTGAGGTGGTGTCAAAGTCAGGGTCAGTGTCAAGGTCAGGATCAGGCTTTCAGCCTGAAAGAACTGACATTCACATATGTCTTTCCATTCCTGCTGACCCACATCCCTGCCCATGTATTCTGCAGTTTGATGGACTATGTCTCTACTCTTACTTGTATCAAGTTGAGCGGCAGTGACAAATTGGCCTTTTCAGACCCATGGCTTGGTGAAGAGAGCTATAACACATGGCTTGACAGAGGGAAAGGGTACTCAAACTGGGATCAAACTTGCTCTGAAAGTTTTCTAGTAGGTTCTGGGAAATTATCTGCCTGCTTTTATAGGTGCTGGCACTGGGCCAGAGAGATTATAAAACCCCCGGAGAGAAGGGGGAAGGGACATTTCTTATTCGGCTTGGCTTCCCCTGGAGGACTGGATGAAACGCCTGGCAGATGCTCAGGAAATTTGCACTGAATAGAACCATAGCTGTTACCCAAAAACCAAACAGTAATTAATGTCTGCAAATGAGGAGGACAAGCCTACATTTCGCTAGGTACATTCTGGATGACAATTTTGTTGTTGGAGTGGTGAGGACCCTATCCCTTCAAATCAAGTGCTGAACTACTCCAAAGTCTGAGTCTTTTATGCGACACAGAAGCAGTATGACATTCAAACACATCACCATTCACCAAGATTCTCACAAACAGGCCTAATGAAGGCCGGGACGGTGAGTGAGAGCACAGATGCTTAGATTTCATGAAGAACAGCATAAATAAGGCTCTAATCATGGCTTCACTCAACTTCCTTCCCTGCTGCAAATTCTGAGCCATGTTTAGACTTTGGCAGTAACATGAATTCTTTCTCCTCATAAGGAAAAAAAAAAAAAAGGCCAATTCTCTATCATTCATCATCATCTAACATAGTTTAGTGGAAGTCAGCGATGGCATGGGGGAGGTACTCTGAACTTGGAGTTGAAAGGGAATTAGGCCAGTCCCAGTAAACCCATTTGGCTAACAGGATAACAATACCTGCCTTACCTATAGCCATGGGTAGCGCCCTTACAAGAGTGGCTGAGACAGGGCAAGAATGCAGGTAATTTATTTGGAAGATGATCCTAGGACACACTGATAGGGGTTCAGGAGGTGACAGAGGGAAGGGAAGAGAGCCGGTACAACGTATATTATGAGTAGGTTTCTGGGAAGGCAACTGATCCCATTGGGACTGTCCTCAGCTGACATCTAGGGACAGAATAGAACATACCTTGAAGTTCTTGGGAGTTTCCACCCAAGGGGAAAGGATGCTGGAAAATTTGTCCTCCTTTTCTCATCCATCCCTGGCTAGGGCTGCCCTGGAAGCATTAATTCCCTGGACATCTGATCTGCTCCTCTTAATAAGATACTTATTCTGGAAACGGGGATGCTCAGAATTATGGGTGGAATCTACCACTCCTACCCTCTAGGATTGTCCTGATGGGAGGTAAGAGCTCTGGGAACCCTTGGGAATGTAGTTAAAGAGAGGGGAACTGGAGATTAAGAAGACAATTCTTAAGGCTCTGAAACTCCCTCTGGATTTAAAATGCCTTAGTCTCAAGAGGGACCATGGAGTTAGCTCTGGCTAGTTTAGAACAGTTCTGTTTATTCACCACTCCTAAGTTTGCAAAAAAGGTCCTTCCACCTGGGACAACAATGGCTGCCATCATGAATTTGCTTTGGCTCACATTTTTGTTGTCAAGGCTAACTGCTGTTTATCAGACCTTCTGCCTTGACCTAAGTCATGAGAAACCATGAGTAAATGAAGATGTTCCTAAATTTCCACAAGCTATCTCACTAATTCATTAAGCATTTACCAAGAGCCAGCCAGGAGTCAGGCAGAATGCTAGTAATGTGATTAGGTTCCCACAACTAGAGTTTTTAAAGTAAAATCTCATCTGGCCCTTAAGTAGGCCCAGGAGGCAGGCAGGGCAGGCATTAATGCCATCCCATTGCCTAGAGGGGAAGACTGAGGCTTAGGGAAATGAAGTGTCTTGCCCAGAAACAGATCTTGCAAAAGAAGCCCTCTCTGCTGGGGCTGGCTACTTGAATTAGCTCTGTCGTGAGCCCTGCTGTCCAATCTCCCTTCTAAATGAGAGGGTGAGATAAGGGGAAGAGAGTGTGTGAAGGTCATGGTGGAAGACACAGAAGCTACTTATAAAGTCTATGGCATGAGGTGATTTAGGAACTGGTAACCTCTGGGGACAGGCATATCCTCTGGGCAAATTCCTGGAAGGACCCAGAAAAGAGAGTCTGGACCAGCCCTTTTGGGAGAGGAGACATGAGCCCAGAGAAGAGAAGGAATGAACTTGCCAATCAGGGCCTCAGTTTCCTTCCCCTCTGTGAAATGAGGTGATAACCTGAACTCTGACTTGGACAGCCTATTCAATATTCAATTCTCTTCATCCTGGCAGAAAAGGCACCTCTGAAACCACTATTGTGCTGATGCAAACATGCCCCCAGCACAGCATCCCTCTGTCAACAGGAACAATGTTTATTTTAAAAGCATGCAAATAGGAATATCTTCTAGCTCTAATAGTCAATTAAAGCTGAACACAAGTGTGGCAAAGGAAGAACACTCAGACATACATGTGCATGTGAGCACACAGTGGCTGCCACTGCCACCAATCAGCTGTGTGTCCCTGGGGAAAACATCTCCCTTCCCTGTGCCTCAGTTTCCCCATTTACACCATGAAGTAGGAAGATAAGGTCATTTCTAAGGTCCTGCCCCTTCTGACATCCTAGATATTGTTATGTGTGGGTAGTAGCTATAGGGGAAGGCAGACAAAAGGCACCAATGGGGTTTCAATATACCAAGGAAATATGGATTTGCTCCTGAAAAGTGTCATACTTTTTGACAAAGTGCTAGTCATAATTGCTACTATTTGCTGAGCAAGAAATATATGCACATATTTCTCTGTATTATCTCAACCAGTTCATCCTACATACTAAGATGATAGGTAGGATTATATTCTTATTTGAGGACATCAGTGCTCAGGGAGGTGAAGTCACTTGCCTGATGTTCTACAGCAACTTGAACTCAGATGAGTCAAACCCACCTCAATACTGTTTGCTACACTGCTTTCCTTATAAATGCCTAAAAACAACCACTGGAATTGGTGTCTAATCCTAACATCGGGAAAAGGCAATAAAATTGGCATGCTCTTGTAGCTGTGATTGCCCGATCAATATTTTACAAAATATCCTTCTAGAATGATATAATTTGAGAACTGGAAATGTGACTGAGAATTTAGTTGCAATCACTCAAGAAAAAAAAAAAGTAAGTATCTTTGCCAAGATGCTTACTTTGTTCAACCAATGAAGAAGTAAGACTTAACAAATGGGAAAATAATTACGTTTGCCTAAAATTACATCTTTTGTGCTCGTCAGGGAGCTGACATGTGTTTCAATTACCTGCCACGGGAAGACAAATGGGTAAATCTACAAGATTGCATTATGGAACGTTAGCATCCAAGGACAACTCTCCTGATTGATCTGAATCCAGTGGGGATTTGTCTGAATGACTCTGAGTAACTTGATTTCATTTCTTGATTTCCCCTGGATGACTTTGGGATCTCAAAGTGAGTTGACACAGAAGGCACAGCTTCCAGAAACATCCAGATGCTGATGAACGATCATCTAGTGCTTTTGGCTAATGACCCTGCTAATGACTATACTGAGCTGAACTGAGGTGTCTGCCTTGAGGATTGCCCAGTACCACTCCCCAGGGATGCCCTGTGGATTCTGACAAGCCACTGCCCCTCTGGTCCCTGTATCCTCCTTATCACATGAGAAACTTAGTCTGGATGATTTCTGAGGTCCCTTCTAACTCTGACAGCAGAAAAGTTCAACAAATGACCTGGGTTTTAAAAAAAGTAACTATTATAGATTAAAAGAAAGTATAGAGACACATTAACCAAATACAAAGAGAGGACATTGTGTGAATTCTCTAACAAACCAACTGTGGAGACATTTTTGAGCTAATTGGAGAATGAACACAGACTGGGAATGCAAGGATATTAACAATTGTTGTTAAATACTTTAGGTGTGATAATAGTATCGTGGCTATGTTTTTAAAAGTTCCTGTCTAGTAGAAATGCATACTGCAGTATTTATAGATTGAAATGAGATAATGTCTGAGAACTGCTTTAAAACATTTACAGGAAAAAAACAGAGGGGTAACACGGTGAGTCAAGATAAAGCAAGATTGGCAAAATGTTGATAATGGTTGAAGCTGGGTGATGAGTTTACTATGATATTCTCTCAACTTTTGAATCTGACTCTTTCTATAATCAAAAACTGAAACAACGTAAGTTTTCTCAGAATATTGGAACTGACTTACCCCACCCCCCTTACTTTCAGGAGTTTCTCAGTCATGTGTGAAGACTGAATGGGCCTGAAAAGTAATACAGTAAAGAAAAAAAATATTCTAAATATGTTGAAACTACTGTTTTCACAGAGAAGTGTTTTCTATTGACTTTGATTTCTCTTATCTGGAGCATCACACTTTCATTTATTTTGATATATTATACTGCATGAAACAACATCCCTGAAAACAGAATTCATCAAGTAGAAAGAAGAAGCATCAAAAAGCCTACCTTGAAATTGAGTAAATTTAATGGTCCCCATTCTTTCCCCGTTCCGGAACACAACTTGACCCTAAAAACAAAGCAAAACAAACAAACAAGAACAAACGAGAAAAAGCCGTATTAGCTCAGACACTACTGATCTCAACTGAAATTCATTAACTGTACAATGCAGTTATTCATATTAGAGGAAAAACAGATTCCTGTTAGACTACAAGAGGCAAAATTAAACTAATTGTTTTTAAACTGGCTGTGACTTTATCTGTTTAATTCAAGGAGCACAAAATCAATAACGGGACTAACACATGTGAATTAGAGCTGAGATATGCATCATCATTATCAGCACGGCTATTTATTAAACATCCACATGCCCTGCGTAGCCCTGGGACAAGGTCTTCCAGGAAAGACAGAGGCACGGGTGAGGCCCAGGGAGCCTGGCCCTGACTGCTTCTGTGACCCATTAAGATGTGTGGCTTTGCCGGGGCTATTTGGCATGAGGACCAGAAGGGGGCTGTAGATCAGTTAGCATTTCTTATTTTTTTAAAAATACATTTTTATTGATTTTTTTACAGAGAGGAAGAGAGAGGGATAGAGTCAGAAACATCGATGGGAGAGAAACATCAATAAGCTGCCTCCTGCCCACGCCCTACTGGGGATGTGCCCACACCAAAGTACATGCCCTTGACCGGAATGGAACCTGGGACCTTTCAGTCCGCAGGCCGACGCTCTATCCACTGAGCCAAACCAGTTTTGACAGCATTTCTTATTAAGGACAGAGGATATTTTTTGTAAGTTCTTCCTGAGTGGGCCAGCACAAAATTAAGCTTCTTGCACCATGACGTAACTAGTGTCACAGGCAGCTGAGCACCCGTTAGGGAACCTGAGGGCTAGAGTCAGTGAGTAGCTTTGTTGGCTGACACAAGGGTTCCATGTGCTGGACTGACCAAACTGGGAACATGAAGAGGCACTGGTCTCTCCTTGCCAATTTATGGTCCTCCTAAGATTCTGCAACCAGGCAAGGAAACTGTCACGCGTTATATCAATGGATCTTGTGACAAGCTTGATTAAACAGGGGGATAATCCTGGTTTAACAAAGTAAGAAACTGACTGAGGAAGGTAATGCCCTTTATGTAAGGTCACTATGAGCTGCTGGAGTTCAAATTCGAGTTTGATTTTAATGTCCATGCTATTTCACTATTTTAATTTCTGATCCAGCAATTAAATTCTTTCCTATCTCTCCATTAATGAGATATCAGAAAAAGAAATGGCCTTAAATGTGTACTGCTTTACTCTCACAGTTGTGAGCTTACATCATCAGGTAAAATTTCAGATCCTGCTCAATTCTCAGGAGAAAGTGCCAGAAAATATCTTCTCTTGCTGGAGACTCAAAGTCTGAGGCCCTGAGGCTTTTGGCACAAAGAGAGAATCACTCAACCTGTTCTCAGAACAAGAAACACATTCTGAGGCCACTTTGACACCTTTTGGAAATCCTGAAGACAGCGTGAGGACCATCCGTTTGAGACGTGCCCACCGAATTCTGTATTTAGGAGCTGGTAAGCAATTCCCTTGTGTGTGAAAACACTTCAGTGTAAGGTGAGAGAGGAGCTGTGATTCTATTTCTAGGGATGACCAACAAACACAGAACATCTTTCAAAAGGATCACTTTTATGCAAATGGACCACTTTTCATGAGTGGGAAAGATGCAGACATGGTCCCCAAGGAGGACATTTGTCTGACAAAGATGGAAATCCAACTACTTCACTCATCTCTTGCCAAGCTTTGAAGAATTCCAGACTTCTAGATATAAAATGTGGACAAAGCCTTCAGAATCCTTATTAGTTAAACTAAAAAGCACATGGAGTAGTATTCAAAGCTTGGACAGGATGGATGGAGTATGGGCTGGGGATAAGAAAGAATCTCCTTTTACTTTTTTTTTATTCCCCTCCTCCCTTTACATTCTAAACATTCTAGTCAATCTTTATTTTACCCACAATAATCATTTTTACCCACAGCAGTTCCTCCCAGCTCCTTAATTTTTCAAGCGATGCAGTTAAAAGAAGCCAGCATCTGAGTTATGGACCTAGCATGGCACCTCATCTACAACAGGCACTCACTAAATGGTAGTATTAATTTTTATTTTAAGACTAGAGGAATTTATGCATGGGTAGGGTCCCTAGGCCTGGCTGGTGATTGGAGTTGATTAGGGTCTTCCTTCCCCAAGCTTCTGGCTGCCGGTTGGGGCCTTCCGTTGTTTCACGCTGCCCCCTGATGGTCAGCACACGTCATAGTGAGTGGTCGAACTCCCGAGGGGACAATTTGCATATTAGCCTTTTATTAGATAGGATGTTTAATATAATAGAAGAGAGCTGAAATAAGAAAAAATGTTTGAAGTACCAGGGAGCTTTCCAACGCTTGGGAAGATATTTCAACATTGTATGATTTTAGCTGGTAAAGGGCTAAACTCTAGGGCCTTTATCCAAGGTGTCCTCCTTTCTCAGAAACATTAGCCCCCAGGAGACTGAGTTCTTGCACCCCACTATTCGAACTAGCATGGGAGAGATCTGAGAACTCTGACCGTGGTAACTGAGTCGCGATGGATACACAGGTGGGTAACTGGCTATGCTGAGGGTCTGTGCCAGAGAAGGAGCCAAGAAACTCTTCCTTATGGGGAAGATGCATCATGTAATTCTTTCCTGAAGGAGTTACCATGGTACCTGCTAGGTTTGACCACTGAAGCCAACTCTGCTACCCTGACCATGGACAGGGACCATCGTCCCAGCCAAGTCAACCTCTCTAAGACTGGACATGAGGAATCGAATCAGGGGATTTTTCATGAAATTCTGCCCAATAGGGGGTCCTCCATATTTAAAGGTGGTCAATTCATACAATGTTGCACAAATATAGGGTATCTAAAAAATGTAGACACATACCTTGAATAATTATAAAGGCAGTGTTTATTAAAATACATTTCACTTTCAAAATTGAGCTATCAGCTATTAAAGTGCACACGCATTTTTTTTTTGGGGGGGGGCGCACACCCTGTATTTTTCTACCCTGTGCCATGTACTCTTATAAATCCTAATTCTGTTTTTTTTTTTTTTTGAGAGCTTTATATTTGACTAGGAAGAAAAGACAAAACAAGTTTGCCAATGAATGAATTAAGAAAATTTCTTTTAGCGAAGAGTGCTGTGAGAAAATAAAAAGGGACTGGCTGGGCGAGGGGAACACATCTCCTGTGCTCTCAGGAAAGCCCTCACTGCAGAGGTGATGGAAGAGCTGAGGCCTGCATGGTAAGAAGGAGGTAGCCCACACAAAGCGGGAAACCATGCAGGGCAAGGCCCTCAGGGGGCAAAGGAAGAAAAAGGACCAGCGTGAGGAGCAGGGAGGTTAGCAGGCCAGATCACATTCCACCTCGAGGTCACACGGCAGGGCTCTGGAGTGCAGCCGAGAGCCTGGGGGTGGGGATGTTAAGCAAGTTAAGTATAATACTATGACCTGAGTAAATACTTGGGAAGATTGCGCTGGCTGTCCGGTAGAGAATGGACGGCAGCATGGCAAAAATGAGGGAGCAGAGAAACAAGGATCTATAGCCTGTAATCCAGATGTGAGGTGACACTGGCTTAGGCTAGGGTGGTGGCCAGCTCAGAGTGTATCGCCAAGGTGGCTGAGCACTGTGGCCTGAGCAGCAGGGGACTTTCACTCTGCACCTCCCATACTGAGCGGTGGGTGCCCTGGTGTGCTGCCCTGATGGCCCCAGCAGGATGGAGGCACATCCTGGCTGCTGCTGAGTTGCCCTGCATTCAAAGGGAGCTGTGTCAATTAAGGTTATGACCCTTCCTGGGGGCCAGCCTACAACCAATGGTCAATGTGAGGGACATACTTCTAGGCCCTAGACCTCAATTCAGGACAGCTGTGAAGGACCATAGGATCCAGAGGTCCCCGTGGGCGGCTGAGGCTGGGATTGCAGCTGCATCACATTTCAACATGTCCCTCTGCTGCACTTCCTCCTTTCCGGGTTTTGTTCCTGAGAACACTCCTTGATAAACTTGCTGTATGCTTGCCTTTGTCTCAGAATCTGTTTCCTGGGAAACCCAACCTAAGACACTTGCCATCAAAGGTCACTAGGACTATATCTTTCTTGCAACCTGAATGATCTGAGTGAAGCCCACGTAGCAACTGGACTGCTCCAGCTTCACGTGCTTGGCCATTCAGCCAGGCCGGCTGCACTGGCTTTAGTTTCTTAAACCCCAGCTGGAGCAGAAATTTTTTCTCTCTCCTCCTCACGCATGTATCCTTATGTATATATAAATGCTGTGACTCTCCTTAAGCTTCTGCCATGTGAGATCCCAGGGCTATACTGAGGATCAATCCATGTGATGCATTAAATGCCAAAGTAACGGAGTCTGGTAACTCTGGCTGGGGTGGTGGCTGATATTGGTTGGCTCACAATCCATACTCACTCTGTACCCTCTTCAGCATTGCAGGGGCCCAAAACCCAGAAACCACATTTCCCAGAATCCCTTGCCAGCTGGTTTCCACTTAGATTCTGCTAATGAGAAGCATTCATGGGAGATTAGAAAGTATGCATAAGGGAAAATCTATTTTTCCCCCTGCTGCGGTTGCAGTAGCAAAAGCTGAGCGACTGCAGGTGTCTGTGGGCCCAGGCAGCCCTGTACTGTCAATGTGGAGGTGCTCCTGGCTGCCTGTCCAATGGCCAGTGGGTGGGAGTGGGGGAGGGGCAGGTAGGGAGGGCTGGGGATCATCTCAGAACAGCAGGAGGGTGGTTGCAGGAACCTATGCCTCTTTTTGTGCCTCCAGCCAAGGGGCTTGGCTGTTTCTGTGAATACTTATCTCCAGGGACAGCACCGACTTGTTTTGCTCCTCCATCCTTTCCAACAAAGTTGCAACCAGTTCCCTGCCTTAATCTCCCTATGAAATGTCTGACTTGGTTTCTATTTTCTTGTCTGCATATTGATTGATCATGGATTTTAACTTCTGAGGAGCTTGTAAGAATGACCATGGAGCTCATCTGGAATGAAAATAAAATAATGGAGGTAAAATCCCAGGTGGAAA